TAGTCCCGGATTGGTAGTCCCGGTTTGAAAACCGGGACTAAAGGGGGATTACGAACCGGGACTACAAACGCTTTCTCCACCAGTGGAAACTTGTGTGCACCATTAATGAATATACTCCCTACTAAAAGCCCTAGCAAGAAAATAGGCTCAAATAAACGGAGGACTAAATTGATCACCATGCCGAAAGCCATCACCAAAAATGGATCATGTCGTTACATCTTGCTCCCTCTGTTTCTATTTCTATGTTTAATACCGTTGACTTTTTAACACATATTTGACCGTTCGTCTTATTCAAAAAAATTTGTGTAATATGTAAAACTATATGTATACATGAAAGTATATTTAACAATGAATCAAATGATAAGAAAAAAATTAATAATTACTTAATTTTTTAATAAGACGAATGACCAAATATATTTAAAAAAGTCAACGGCGTCAAATATTTAGAAACGAGGGAGTATATGTATAGCTTTCTGTCACAACACGGTATGCGATTGTGATATGTGATCTGATTTGTACAACTAATGAATGATGGTTTAATTAGGTCCTTGGTTAGGGTGTATATACTAACTAGACGACGTATAAATGCATGTAAGTATATCTAGAAGAACTCCAGCCGAGAAGGCGGCTGTTAGTTAATTAATTAAGTGAGAAGCTAGCTAGCTAAGACAAACAGCAACTGATTGTGATTGTGACTTTGCGAGTATACACTGATGGTAATCTGTTGCCAGGGCGCTGTCATCGAAAGGGAGCTAAAGCTCTAGCTCGATTTCATACTGTCAGTGTCAGTACAGTGTGTATCAGTATCACTGTGATTGGAACAGATGATAGCTCAGCTCGTAAAAGCGACCGTGATGTTGTTGTTGTCACGAGAGGGAACTTGCATGAATTCAGATTTTAAGTGAAAACAACAACAATCATCTTTATTAAAAAAACAAAAACATAATACAAATAACCGCTTACAACTCTAGGAGAAATTATCAATTTCGACTACCCTCCAACTCCAACCACAAATTTATACTACTTTAAATAATACTAATGATGATATTCCAGTTCTGCCTCCGATGTTACAAGCTGATATGTGGGGTTATAAGGTCACAAACATGAATGCTTTTGCTTTTAATATATCATTATATGCCTAATCAACTAACTATGCTATAAACTTATAATGTTTGCTTTTGATTTTACTTTTATCTCTTATAATATTCGTTGAAACGTACGGGCCTTTAGCTAGTAATATTAAAAAATCTCGCAAAAGTACATTTGAGGTATCTAAAGAATTATCCTTTCAGAATAACCGGCTTTAACTTTAAAATCCAATATTTGGCCAACTTTAAACTTAATTAAAATAGTTCATCTCCAGTTACAAAACTAAATTAATTTCGCAAAAGTGAACAGACTTTAAAAACTGGACCAAAACAACCATTAGGCCCATTATTGGAGTCAACGAGGCCCAGTTAAGCATGCTGAGATTATACCGTTTGGGCCTGCAAAATGGATTTGAGTACAAACAGACTCGGAAAAGGCCCAATTTGTTTCATATATGTCAAATCTGATCTATATTCCTCAATCAAAAAATCGGTATATTGATTTCTTCAACTATTTAAAACTGGTGTAAAACGACTTTCAGAACGGTATTATTGGTGATTTCGCTAGATGTTGTGCGTATACGACACGCTAACATGGTCTTCATCATAAGTTGTGGCAGCTACATGGTGCTTATGTGGTATTAAAACTTAGTGGATCCACATGTCGGTAGCAATTCTACCAGGAAAAATAAAAATAATCTTATTGCTTTGCTTGGTAGAAATCTCGTATATCCTCCTTTCTATCCTCCACCTCACTATCTAAACATGCATGACATCCTATTTAGGCATCTTGTTTCCCCTTGATCAATGGCGGTGGAGGCATCTCCAAGGTAGGTCGAGCCATCGCTTGGGCCCCACCTCCAATAAGAATAACCACCTACGTTCTAAAATTAGTTGATCATCGAAAAACACTATTAGCTGCACAGGCTCGATAACATCGCCAGCTCTGCCACTGTTGTCGACTTTTTTCTTGTGCCATCTCATAATCCACGAATCCAAGGCTCGTTCTAGGGCGAAAAACCCTACCACGTGGTGCCGCCGATTTTAGGGTTCGCCCCCTCGCTCGCAGTCATTGGATCATGTATTTATGGCGAGAGATAGCTGCGGTGGACCTCAGTGTAATATACTCCCTCCGTTTCCTATTATAAATAGCTTTGATTTTTTTTTTCTAGTCAAACTTTTAAAGTATGACCAAGTTTATAGAAAAAATTAGCGATATTTATAATGCCAAATTAGTTTTATTAAATCTAACATTGAATATATTTTCATAGTGTATTTATTTTATGTTAAAAATGCAAATATATTTTCCTATATCTTAGTCAAATCAAACTTAAATACGTTTGACTATAAAAAAAAGTCAAAACGACTTATATGTAATGGAGAAAGTACAAATTTTGAGGGGTTTTTTTTCAAAGTGCTCAATCCCTATCCGCCACCACCGAGAACAAGCTCCTCTTATCTTTGAGTAAGAGGAGGCATATATCAGCCACTCAAGGTTAGAGTAAAATTTATCCTGTCTTCTCTCTCACCTCCCACATGCAGGGGTCAAAAAAAAAGACCGATACTGAACTAATTGGAACCGAGACCTCTTCATACTCAACTAACCAAATTTTATTCGGTTATACCCATCGGTTAGCCAAATATGACGGAAAGCCCAACAGCCCTTATAGCCATCAATGTCCAACAATTAACAAGAGCAAACCTGCCGACCGATGCAGCCGCCGCCTCCAGTCCCGCCGCTTGCGCGCTAATCCCTATTTGCGATGCACGCGCATTCTTCAGTCCTGACGACCGCGTCGTCGCATCTCGCTAGTGCTGTCCTATTCCGATTACTGCACCTCACCCTTTTCAGTAGCGTGTGCTCCTTTAGGCTCTGCCTCTAGCCAGCATGCCGCCGGTTTGCGAGCTGGACATACAGCTCCACTTAATGGTTGCGTCAAAGAGAGACATGCCAAGCAAAAGAAGGTAGCGGGCTAGGATGGGACTGGAAAGTAAGTAAGGAATGAGATTTTAGTCCAAAACCAAAGAGTAAAATGTATAGCGATCCAAAAATATTTTTACAAGTTGCAACGCACGGGTATTTTTTCTATTAGATTTAAAAACTGTATAGAGTACTTATCGAAACCCGTAGTATAGCCAACTATTGTACTTATCGGTTCAGGCCCGGTTTAGTTAGCAAAATTTTTTGTTCTGGGTGTCACATCGGATATATGGACACATATTTGAAGTATTAAATGTTGTTTAATAACAAAACAAATTATAAATTCCACCTGAAAATTGTAAAACGAATTTATTAAGACTCAGTAGAAAATGTTTATTATAACACCATATTGTCAAATTATGGTGCAATTAGGCTTAAAAGATTCGTCTTGCATTTACACGCAAACTATATAACTGGTTTTTTTTCCACATTTAATACTCTGTACATGTGCCGAAACATTTGATGTGGTGGGTGATTTTTTTTTTTTTTGGAAACTAAAGAAGGCCTCAGTCTTCAGTTATTCCCTCCGTCTTGAGTGAGTTCTAATAAACGAATAAACGACACACCCGAATTTCTTAAAAAAAAAACAAAAACGAATAAACGAAACCGAATGCCCACACGGGCGGCCACCCGCCGGCACACCGCCCTGTCCGCCGCCATCCCCTCCTCCTCGTCACGGCAATGGGGCTCTTCCAGCGGCGGCCGCCCTCTCCGCCGCCTTCCCCGGGCGAGTACCCCGGTTGCGGCGCGCGCGCGGGGGGTTAGGGGAGGAGCAAAACCAACGCCGTCGTGGAGGTCACCATCGATAAGGTCAGGGCGCGCCCGCCCCGACGGCGCTTCCCCCCGTCCGCGTCCGCCTCCGCCCTGGGATCGAGGGTCGCAGCCCCTGTGAGCTCAAGGGCGCCGCCGTGGCCAAGATCCAAGGCAGGCGCTCGCCCCCACGACTCCATGCGCTTCAGGTCTCTACACCCTCCCAAATCTTACTTCTTCACCATATAAGCTCAATTCCATCTACGAACTAACTAATGGTATGAATTATTGTGATTCGTAGCAAAAATTCTTGTTTCGTATTTTGTTGTATAAGGTTGAAGTCTATGTATACATACGCATTTGCCTAAACTGGTTGGCGGAGAACTGTGGAATTTATTCAAATAATTCAGTTTGTGATACATTATCAAGGTTAGTTCATTGCCAGCATGTTCAATTCAATTTTCAGGCTGTAATTCCACGGTTAAGTCTACATTTTGATGCCCCACACTGATTCTGCCAATGGTAAGTCTAAAACTAGGCAATAATTAACACATTGGTGCAGTTTGCGTTCTACTTGAAACCATATTAATTGAAATATGAAATATTTGCCGTCATGAACCAAAATGAAGGAAATACAGTCCACAAATTCAGCCATCTACATTGAATTTAATAGCATGGCTGTCTGCTCTCATTTCATTCATTTTGTTTTACCTCCCAGGTTATTATGTTTTTTCCCCCACAAATTGAGGCATCTATATTGATTTGTTTTAAGTTCAAAACAGTCAAGTGTATGCTTGTATGTTTTACATACTACTGAATAGAAGGAGAGCATAGAAGAGGTGAATTGGATAGCATCACTGCATCAGATTTATGCTGGTTCTTTTATACTTGCTACTAGCTTTGGCTGAAGATTCAAGGGATACCTGGAATAGGAGGGCAAGGAATCAAGTATAGACTGATTATACTTTTAAAGTTTTTAAAGCCTCTACTCACCAGTACTTCATAAACTCCATATTCCTCGAGTTTTCAAATGCAGATGATGTGCAAATATGTTTCTGCTAATTGCATGTAGGAATCTGTATTTTGGTCTTGACTAGCTCAAAATCAGCGATTTCGGTTGATGGAGCTGATTCATTGTGCTTTTGCCATTGCCAGGGTGTAGGTAGAAATTCCTGGCTGCTTTTTTTGTTCATCCGAAACCTTGGAGATAAAAACGGCCATTTGGAGGATCTCAATAGTTTCCCTTTCAAAAAATTATAGCTCTTACTATTGGTGGACACATGTGGATCTGTAAACTAGAGAGCACCAGAATTGCACAGCAGTTCAGACTTCACTTGATTCAGCTACCATTGCTACACAACTCAGGCCGATGTCTATCTAACGTTGGATTGAAGTACAACAGCTTGCAGAACAGTGACAGTAGCACAGCACATTCATTTTTTTTCTACAAGACAGAACACAAGAGATTTGGTTGAGCTCTCACACAGTTGACACTTGACAGTCCGGCTGCATATACAAGTTGCAATGTGCAATACGTAAGACCATGCCTCTTTGCAATCATTTATCCAGGACAGAATCAAGTAGTAGAAAAAGGATAAAGAGGCACCAGCATCTTCTGCTCCTGCCTTGAGGTAAACGCTATACCAAATTTATAAAGGAATAATCAATTCCTTAGTCTCCTTCCTTGTGTAAACTGAACTTTTAATGTTATGCATTTCGAACGTTATGTTTGTTTTCTCGAATATGCAAGAGAGCTGCGTATCATTGCATTAATAGAAGAAAAGCGTACAAACACGCCAAAAAACAGCAAGAAGTACAAGAATTCACGCCACCACAAAACAAGTCACTGCATGGGCGGTAACACACCAAAAAGAACAAAAGAAAAGGCCCTAGCTGGGGTCCACAAACAGGGAGAGTCCCTTAGCTCCCACCAAACTCCATAGGCGGGCTTCCTCACTTAGAACGCTATCTTTAAAGAATAAGAAGAGCAAGTTATTGAAAAAAAGATATTTCCTCAGTTCTTATAGTCATGTGGAGGGATAAAATGAAGATAAGTAGTCTCATTACTTTGGTTCATTAGAATTCAGAATTTATGCGCACAAATTCGAATTCCAATTTATGTCCATGAACTCACTGTCTTGCTGCCTTCAACTGATCTGCATAAAAGGGTAAATCTTATACCAAAAACTATGTCACATCTTAGGCAGAGATATAAAATTACTCAACCAATTTTTGAAATAAAACCTTGAACCTCCTGAGTCAATCTGATATATTTTTTAGACAAGACTAATATATGCGAACAACTTCTAAGACTAAAAAAGTATAAGTGGCACACGTGCAAACAGCCATCGATAGCATATAAACAAATACTAATGTAATCAGTAACAACACGGATGAGCTGAGCTCAGTGCTTACAAAGCAGAAATTGGTACTAAAATTGTTAAGTCATCAGCATGATCCTATTACTCCACATTTTATATAGAGATTTTTCCTGCATTTTGTCAGCACACAGGTGGAAAATTGAAGCTGGAAATCCATGCACTGTTTTGTAAACTAATAAATGACCTATGGAGATCTTCCTCATACATTATAGTGCCGTCTAAATTGAAGTACGGTTGAATTATTACCATGATTAATCGTAGTTTCATGTACATTTTTTATGCAATGGTTTCTATGAGAAATTCTGAAACTGAACTGGCATTATTTTGAAAAAAAAAGATAAAGATAAGTAAAAAGTCCCAATCATGTTATCTTATAAGCAACAAGATTGGCTCAAGTTGATATGGAACCAAATTAGTAAATGTTTGATTTTGTTTATTTTCCTAGCTAGGTACTGAGTCCTGTCTAATTAATGCATCTGCAATTTAATTGACCTCTTTGAAGTACTTCAAATGTCTTTTACTTTAGCCATGTTAATTTTGTTAGGTTGCCTTTTATGATACTTGTACAGTTAGATGGAATGTTTAACCAATCGAAGTAGACATTTTTGTGTACTTTTTAAATCTTATTTCTTTGCTTTGCAGAAATCTGGGAGAAACACAAATTGGAACTGCAGAATTTGACGCTAACAAAGCCATTCAGGACATTACTTTTTTTTTTCATGTTAGTGATGGTGCAATTGATACTCACCTGCCAAATACATATATTCCTTGGGCATGGTACTATTGAGTCATTTTTCTTACTCATGTGCAAGAATATTTTTTTTTCCTTACACAATTCTGATCTCAAGTCCCAACGCCTCTCCTAGACAGCTTGAAAGAAAAATTGGACAACTCCAAGACCTGAAGAACTCTGCGCAAGAAGTTTCATCAGATGACACACTTCAGATGTTTCATGAGAGCATTCTTCAGAGTAGCCATTCATTAGAGGAACCACATGCAACACTAAAGAGAGCTACAGATTCCAGTAGGTTGCAATTTCTCTCAGAGGATGTTGCGATGCTGTGTTGCATGAATGCCCAGATATGAAAGAAAGTGGAGAATTGACATGAGATTCATAAACAGGTTGGCAGAATAGCAAGCACCACCAACCCTATTGCCGGCAGAGTCTCTACTTGCATCGAATTGCAGTTTGCTTAACATCAAGGGATTCAAGATGTTGATTCAGGGGTGGTGTTGGAGATGGAAGTGATTCGATTCCTTGATCCGGCAACCCTGGTTTCCTGTTTCAAACTCAGAAATTCTTAAGAATGTTTGTAGATCATAGAAGCCTTTCCTGCTCCTGCTAGCTGTAACCGGTTTTGTATCTGTAACAGCAGTAAACTAAACTCGCAATATGAACTTACAATTATAATTTTTTTTTCCCCTGAAGTTTGTTATTTGCATGTTCTGCCCTCACTAAACATTTCACTGGAACTTTGGCAGTTGCTAAGTAAGAAATAAATTGTTTACTTAACTTTCCTAGATATCTTATGCAGAAAGTCTGATGTATGACAGTTGCATTCTAACTTTGCATATATCTTCTGGCTCCACCAAGTATGCTTATTTGTTATGAACTGGGAGTGTTGAATGTTAATATAATGAAGGGCCCTCGGTAATTTCTGTTTGACGCCAATCTGTTGGTGCGATTGGTGCATCAAGCTGATCGATCAGCGCCTTTTTTTTCGACGTGTACCAGGTTGGTGAGAGCGCCAAAGCCTTTTTATCCGTTGCGTATCGTGAGTGTTAATTGGTTTCCAATATCAATGCCTATATATATTCATGACGATGCATGCTTGATGATCTGGTTAATTGGACGTTAATCCTTTATGTTTTTTATACAATGCAGACAAATATAGATGGGGCAGAGAACGGATATGCTCACATGATAAAAAGAATTGAACACAACACATATCATATTTATAGTTCAATCGCATAACTGTCTCAATCATTGTTTGCGATGTGCGTGCTTTGTGAAGAGTCGGAATAATCTGTTGGATGTTTACACCTTATTATACCTTATTTTGATAACCAATAACTACTATAAGGGGGTAGAGGGTCTTGAGGATGTGGGGGCGACAAGGGTCGTAGGCTCGTAGCTTGTTCGATCGACTCACCCTGCCTAATAGGTAGATCCGCCCTCTGAGTGAAGTTATCTTGAATCTCAACTTTGAATGTTTCTTTGTCACTCTTGCCTGGTTGCTCCTTGTTAGCGGAATGAATATACCTGAAACGATTTGACTCTTTTGACATGTTAAAAAAATTGATGGATGTTTTATTTGGACCAGGGTTTGAAATTTCGTTTCAAATTTTTCGAAATTTTTCCCCCCTCCCCACCACCGGCAAGCTCATATCTCGCCCGAATTTTTCGGTTTTTTGCATTTTTTTTTGTGAATTTGGCCATATTTTATTCAAATTCATTCAGTATCAGTCAAAATTTCAAACAATTTCAGCCAAAAAAATTCAAAATTTCCTATATTTCTGAAATTTCGGTAATTTCGGTGCCCCCGGCAGACATAGCAATTTCAAAATTTAAAACCCTGATTTGGACATCTACGTAGGGATGAAAACAGTCGGAGAAATCCTCTACCATTTTTTATTTTCATTTTTTTCTCAAAAAGGAATCGAAATGGTAGAACTGAACGATATCGGTAATATTGGTATATAGGAAACGGGATCATTGGAACGGAATCTACTGATATTGGTTGGAACTCGGAAGTCAAATATTCATGTCGGAAACATCGGAGCGTGGCATAGTCAGACATTTAACTATGCATGAAGATGATTTTATAACTTTATTCTTACATCATTATACTCCACATAACACCGTTATATGATTATTAATGATATGATAATAAGTTTGGTGAACAATATAAACAAAATTCAACTAACTTCAGCATCAATAAGTTGAGAAAATCAAAGTTCAGCAAAGACTATATGGTACGTCCTAAGGTTACAGTGTTTCCCTTGGCCACTTCCTCCTCTTAATGGGCTACAAATTTACCAGGTTTCCTTCATTCATAGGCTTCCGATGGGTTGGGCTGGCTGGTCTGTTGGGGAAATTTCGGAATTTTGATGGAAATTATTGGATAATTACGGTTACTGATAAAACGGTCGGAAAAACCATCATCTCATTTCCGCTACCATTTTCGGAAGACATTAACGTTTCCATTTCCGACACTAACAATTACTAATACCAACTGAAACAGAAACAGTCGGTGCAAATCAAAAATGACAACCGGAAATTTCCTTACCATTTTCTCCCCTGCCTCTACGACGTCCATGATCCTAAACAACGCTGGCTATGGACAAAATAGATTGGCCCAATCTCAATTGGTTGCGGCAAGTTATTAGCATTGGGTTCTTATATAATCCTCCTATTGCCTTAGGGCAGTTACAAATTAAGGTGAAGATAGGCTCTTAGCTAAAACAATTGAGACAACACTATCTTTAACTATTAATACACCAAAAAAATTTGTTACTAATTTTTTTCCCTTTTCTCCAACCCATATAACAAATATTCTTTTAATAAATGCTAAGAGTCGACTCTAACCATATGTCATGCATAGCAACGATGTTTTGTTTTTCTCATCTCTCTCTCGTTTACGTCACCAAATTTACTTATGTGACAACGGAAAGAGCCCGCTAATAAAGATTGTTGTGCATTGCCCTTTTCTTTTCTTTTCTGGTTTCATATATTTTCTGAAATGCATGAGCAAATTTCAAAGCGGGTATAACTTACAAAATTACAAGCCGTGTTGTGCTTAGGTCTCCTCAAATCTGACCAATCTACTCAGATTAAAATTCATATCCCGGTCGCCGCATAAAGCCCCCAGAAATTCACCAATTTTGTTGCTTTCCAACACAAATTAGATTTGTTTGACGACATTTATCCACGGATGAATTGACAGCCGGCGGCACTGTCGGTAATTAATCACTTGACGAAATTTCATGGCGATGCGGCTACACTGAAAACCAACCAAATGGAAGTATGCAAACAACTACCTACGACTTGGTTCGCTTAAAAACTTTACAAAATTCGCCAAGCTGATGCAACAAGGTCTATAGTTAATTCAACAAATCGGCAGAACTAACAATCGATAGACGACTGCAATTTGGCAACACACATGGCATGCAAATCACATTACCATGCAATCCCCGGCCCATAAGTCATCTCATGAAACCATGATAGATTATTCTATTAACATCCCTCAATAAATTATCTTTGAATTTTGAGCATATCTTCATTTCGAATCAATACATGAAACAGGAGATATATGTTGGAGTAACTTGATATACAAGCTCACAAAGTCTCCAAAAAAGATATTCATAAATTACTAAATTAGTAGATAACATTGTGTGCATATACTCCTATATATAGAGGGAAACTATTTTAACAGCTCGAGTGGATGTCCACCCGTTTATTGCATGTCAACTAAATAGTTATGAAAAAAATTAAAAAAAAAATATGAATAAGATAGATCAATATGTAATGTATCAATCCACAAACATGCAAGTTAAAATTCAACTGGTACAAATTGTAACAAAAATAACAAACAAAACTCAAATTACTATATGTATATTTATAGTTAAATTTGTTATTTTTGTTACAACTTGTAGAAGTTGAATTTTAACTTGCATGTTTGTGGAGTGTTACATATTGATCTATCTTGCCAATTTTTTTGAAAATTTTTCGTAGCCATTTAGTTGACATGCAATAAACGGGTGGACGTCCACTCGAGCTATTAGAATACATCTCCTATATATAGAGACTAGAGAGACGCAATTGACAGCATTTTGTAAGCATTTGAAGCAAGCAAGAAAGCTAAGCATGCCATCGCTTGGAGCAGCCAGGGACGGCGGCGGCGGCGGCGAGGCCGGCGTGACCACCGCCGCCGCCAAGGCCACGTCGACGGCGACGCTGCTGAGCCTGCTCCGAGCCAAGTCGGAGCGGAGCGCGGAGGCGGAGGAGAAGGTGGAGTGGGTCAGGTCCCAGCTCGTCGGCGCCGGCGCCGAGTTCGACACGCCGTTCGGCCGCCGCCCCCTCGTCTACGCCGACCACACCGCCTCCGGCCGCGGCCTCCGCTACGTCGAGGACTACGTCCTCCACCATGTCCTCCCCTTCTACGGTCAGTACCATCTACCATGTCGCTTCTCATCTCATGCGATATGCGAGCTCGATCACGACGTTCATGGCGATGGCGAGGTGATCGATGCGATGCTTGTAGGGAACACGCACACGGAGGACAGCTACGTGGGGAGCAGGACGACGAGGATGGCGAGGAAGGCGGCGAGCTACATCAAGCGGTGCGTGGGGGCCGGCGGCGCCGCGGGCGGCGACGTCGCGCTGCTGTTCTGCGGGTCGGGGGCGACGGCGGCGGTGAAGCGGCTGCAGGAGGCGATGGGCGTGGCGGCGCCGCCGGGGCCGCTGCGGGAGCGCGCGGCGGCGCTGCTCCGGCCCGAGGAGCGGTGGGTGGTGTTCGTGGGTCCGTACGAGCACCACTCCAACCTGCTGTCGTGGCGGCGGAGCCTCGCCGACGTCGTCGAGGTCGGCGCCGGCGACGACGGGCTCCTCGACCTCGCCGCGCTCCGCCGCGCGCTGCGCGCCCCCGAGCACGCCGACCGCCCCATGCTGGGGTCCTTCTCCGCCTGCAGCAACGTCACCGGCGTGCTCACCGACACCCGCGCCGTCGCCCGCCTCCTCCACCAGCACGGCGCCTTCGCCTGCTTCGACTTCGCCGCCAGGTACACGTGGCACATGCACACAGACACAGCTAATAATCACACTGCCCGATGCATTACTTAATTAAATAAATACTCCATATGTTTCATATTATAAGTCGTTTGTTTTTTTTTCCTAGTCAAGTTTGACTAAATTTTTATAAAAACATATTAGTATTTTAAAAAAACATATGTTAGATTTTATGAAATTAGTTTGGTATTTTAGATGTTGCTAAACTTTTATATAAACTTAGTCAAACTTGACTAGGAAAAAAGTCAAATGATTTATAATATAAAATGGATGGAGTATTTAACTAATGGATTAATTGGATTAATTGTTGATTATTGCCATTTGATGAAATGTGTATGGATCACATTTTCATTTTTTTCATGATTTTATAATGGGTTTTTGATGAAGTATGAATACAATGATCTACAAGTATCGGAAGTCCATGAATTGGAAGCTAGGGTTTCCAAGTGGTGCAAGGAACTCTCATTTTCTTCGATAATGATCCTATGCTATCCACCAGTTTGACAGTTGACGCATTTCTTAATTAGTACGGACTGTACATACAATCCAATCTGCTGATGAAATCAATATACATGTGGTGTTTTTTCTTGGTCAAATTGATGGTTAATTTTAGCAGCATATTTATTCAAAAACTTAACCTAACTAGAGAGGGGAGTTAGATAGCGCGTTTCTTGATTACTTAGATTTCCTCTTCAGAAACAGGTAATTTTTCCTGATTTGTTCCACTGTATTGACTTCCAATCTGGCTATTTTTTGCATTTCAATCCACCTGCCAGCTGCTGCATGCATGTTGCATTGGATGACATCGTCATTTTGACCTGATAATTAAGATTAGCAAATGGTATACCAAAGCAATACATAACATGCAAGAATGATAAAGAATGTGTGTGTTAGTACACACATTAATTAAACTATATGTGGAGATTTATTCAGTCCTTGTAGATGTTTTCTTCTCTGATGATGACAGAAGCAATCTCGAACCAATTCCTTGATCCATTTTTTTTCTAGTTTTACATTAATTAATTAGAACGAAGAGTCTTGTTAGTAGCTCATCTTGATAGTGAAAGCCATTGACCTTCCAAGTTCCAAGTCTTAACCCATCTGAACTTCTGAATCACAAGCTAGCTAGCTTGTGAAGACACTGAAATTATTTTCTTTTCATGTGCCATTCAGAAACAATGTGATTGCTTTATTATTATCTCTCTGCTCTGTACTCCTGTTCATACTGATATCATTGCATAACCAGAAATTTTAATGCAAACATATAATTGAACTTTTTTTCTGAAAAAATAAAGGATGTTAATAATTGATGAATACTCACCGTTTCATATCATAAGTTATTTTGACTTTTACTATTCAAATTTCTTTAAGTTTAACCAATTTTATAGGAAAACATAGTAGCCATTTCGACACAAAACAAACATATTATCAAAATATATTCAATGTTAAATTTAATGAAGTTTTTTTGGTGTTTAAAATGCTGCTGAACTTTTCTATATACTAGATCAAACTTAGCAAAGTTTATAATAGAAAAAAATCAAAGCAACTTATAATACGAAACGGATTGAGTATTAATCTGTTTATATATGAAAAAAGATACGTATGGTTGATTAATTAGTTTATCATTCATGAGTAAATGCATATGCATGTCCTAGCTAGCTAACTAACCATGCATGCATGGGGTGTACATGTGTGTGTCTGAAGCTGACGTGTGTGTCTCACTGAGCAGTGGGCCCTACGTGGAGATCGACATGAGGCCCGGAGAGGTGGACGGCTACGACGCCGTGTTCCTGAGCCCGCACAAGTTCGTCGGCGGGCCGGGCACGCCGGGGATCCTCCTGATGAGCCGCTCGCTGTACCGGCTGTCGTCGCAGCCGCCGACGACGTGCGGCGGCGGCACTGTCGCCTACGTGAACGGCGCCAGCGAGCGCGACACGGTGTACCTCGCCGGCGTCGAGGAGCGGGAGGACGCCGGCACGCCGCCCATCGTCGGCAAGGTCCGCGCCGCGCTCGCGTTCTGGGTCAAGGCGCGCGTCGGCCGCGGCGGCGCCGTCGCGCTCCGGGAGCGCGCCCACGCCGACGCCGCCATGGCGTGGCTGCTGGGCAACCCCAACGTGGAGGTGCTCGGCAACGTCGCCGCCCCGCGCCTCCCCATCTTCTCCTTCCTCGTCTTCCCCGGCGACGGCGACGACCGGCGGCTGCCGCTGCACGGGCGGTTCGTGGCGAAGCTACTGAACGACCTGTTCGGCGTGCAGGCGAGGGGCGGGTGCGCGTGCGCGGGGCCGTACGGGCACGCGCTGCTCGGCGTCGGCGACGAGCTCTCGCTCCGCATCCGCGCCGCCATCGTCAGGGGGTACCACGGCGTGAAGCCGGGGTGGACGAGGGTGAGCTTCGCCTACTACCTCTCCGGCGACGAGCTCCGCTACGTCCTCGCCGCCATCGACTTCGTCGCGGCGCACGGCCACCGCTTCCTCCCGCTCTACGCCTTCGACTGGGCCACCGGCGACTGGTCCTTCCGCCGCGCCGCGCTCAAGCGCCAGCTCATGGCGCGCGAGCTGCTCCACTGCCACCTTGGCAGCAGCTCCGCCACCAGCAGCGACTCCGACGGCGGCGAGTTCCAGACGGCGAGGAAGACAACGGCGGCGGGCAAGGTTGGCGGTGACGTCAGCGCCGACAAGTTCGAGGGCTACTTGGAGAGCGCGAGGAGGATCGCGCGGTCGCTGCCGGACACGTGGCAGGCGACTGTCACTGTGCCAGAGGGAATTGACCCTGACATTGTTCTTTTTCGAGTGTGACTAATTAGTAATTAATCAATCTTGTGTCGTTGATTAATTGTGCTCAGGTTAAAATTAGAGGAATAGCATGTATAGATCGAGTATAGTGTTGGAGGATAAGTGAGGGGACTGTCTATATTTATACCGCTATATTTTTCATAAAAAAAAGCATATATACTGACAAATATAACGTTGTACTGAAACTAATTAGGAGACGCATGCAAGAAAGTGATGTGTATATGAGGCTGACAAAGTTTCCGAGGATGCTTGGGGCGCCCTTTAGGCATTTGGTCTAAGGCCCTGTTTGTTTCAGCATAAGATTATTATAATCTGGATTATTGAGCCAGATTACTATAAATTGGATTATAATAAGCCGACATAAAATAAGCTGTTAGCTGTTTGAGTTTTGGATTATTAGCTGTTAGTCACCCAATAATCTAGAAAAAGCACCTTTAGAGTGGATTACCAGATTATAGTAATCCGGCTTATAGATTATAATAATTTATCATAATAAGCTATCTGTTTGTTTCAGTTTACTCCTAATAATCCAGATTATCATAATCCTAAGCTGAATCAAACATGGCATAAGTCTATATTATGAGGCGCTTTTTTCCTCAACGTTGCCTGCTTAGTTGTATACATTTTTTTTTTGCTATTTCCATGCATGTACTTTTGGAAACGATCCTATCCGGACGACCGATAGGGAGATTAAGTATCTAGCCTTTCTCCTCACTAGTTTCTTATCCGTTCCCTCATCCCTTACTCTCTCTCTCTCTCCCCTTTCTTCTCTCTCCACACTTTTTCTCCTCTCTATTTGCATCATCTCCACATGGCGATCAACTACTCTGCGTCAAAGCCCACGAGGAGCTCAGCGCGGCGGTAGCCATGTCGATGTGGCCAAGCTCGGCGCAGTGTCGACGATGGTGGCCATGTGGATGAGGCCGAGCTCCGCGCGGTGTCGATGAAGGTGGCCACGTGGTTGTGGCCGAGCTCATTGCACCAAGTTCAACATCGGTCGATGTGGTGGCTAACCACTGTAGCGGAGGAAGAGGTAGATCTAGGTTTTTCTTTCGAATATTTTTGATGTTTCAACTCATGTACCTTGATGTTTTATTAATTAGATTGAAATGTTGTTGTGGGGTTTTCTATGGTGTTTAATTTTTTTTTGACGTACTCAAATGTGTTTCATGGTTCAATATATTTGAAACCGTTGTTTCATACATTGTAGAAAAATATTTCATTTTGTGATTTGAATGTGTTTCACCTTTTTTAGTAATAAAACATTTTCATGCAACGGGTGAAACAACGCCAAATTTTTAGAAAAAATCGGACACCTGATTTGTAGTCGTCTTGACTTTCGGAAACATACTTTTCCTACTATTCTCTCTCTTCTAACATATCCATAACAAACTTACTATTAAACATTAAATGATTTTTTTCTTTTAAACTATTCATTCGATTCATGATCTGATTGCACCATTAAATTAGTTGCAATTAAATGTTCAGAATAAGACCACACATGGTTATATTCTAATAAAAAAATATTTAGATTTTTAATGGATTTCTTTAAATGTTGCACCTGCTGCTTTATTTAAATGTTTCAACTAATATCTATATGATGTTTCACTAGTTAATTTGCAAATATTGCATATGATGTTTTTAGTAGATATTTAATAATATTTCAACAATTACAATTTAATGTTTGTACGTGACAAAAAAATTATTCAACGATATCAAGTTTTTGCAAATATATTGTATCTTTCGTATTATTTTTTTATGTTTTACCTGTTGAGACTCAATGTTTCGTACAATCATTGCCGGTGTTACAGTCAGTATACTTTAAATGTGGCATCTCTCTGAAATATTTTATACAGTAAAATAAAACATTTGATCAAATCATGAAACATTTTTTTTCTAAGGGATGAAACAACAGACATTTTTTTTCATCAAAATATATTTGAGTGGGATCTTATTATAGAGATTTAATTGCGACAAATATAATAGTGTAATTGGTTCATGGATTAGATAAGTAATTTAGGCATAAGAAATTTTTTGAAGTTTGTGAAAAGTTAGTTATGTACATAGGAAAAGAGATAAATGTTGTCTAACATGCATACAGGGTAAAGAGTAGTGCTGTAGGAGGCGCCCGATTTTTTGCACCCGATTTGTAGCTGTGTCGCTAAGTTTCTTTTGAAAATAAAAATACTTCGAGACCATGGCCAACAGAATCCCAAAATTTTGGATTTTTCTTGAAAAATCGGCGACAATAGTTACCTGATGAGGTGGAGCTACTTTTTATTATCGGTGGTAGTCTTAGTTATTTGTTGGAGAGATGAATCTATTCACAACAAAAAAAAATCTGATTAGAGATAAAAACCAGAAGCTATTTTAGGACATTTTTTAGAATAATGGATCCTATCTAAATGTATGTATAGTTTTTGTACGAAATCATCCACATGTCCTAACACACTGTTGTTGCCAACCATCTTTGTCAAGCGAAGACGGGACATAAATGCAAGTTCTTTCGCATGGATCGTATACTCTTTTGCAAGGATAAAATCCTAAAAATAAGCCATATGCTACCATGTTATATGAACTACTACTCTGTCAAAAAAAAAATCAAACCTAGTTTTGAATCTGGACATAGGTTTAAATTTTTTTGAAACGGAGGGGTATCTATGAGTAATTTACACGGAAGACACATACACAGTTACACACTCGCACCCACTCACTTGAGTGCACTCCCTGACACATGCTATGTATGTGCGATTTTGACAATTGGAATCACTCCAATTTGATGGAAGATTGTATCGATGCTTGGACCGTTTGGTCCTTATCAATTTTCTCTTGGAGGGGAGGGGACTAAGTAATACACTACATCCAACATACTACATCTCAGTCCAAGATTAGTACAGGTGCCATGAAAAGATAGAAGAGTTCAATGTAAGGAGTGATAATTTTACAATTGATGGTACATTTGGAAGGATCGCAAGCGAAGAATCCTTCAAAATTGAGTTAAATGCCTCAGACAAGATTACACATCTCAATATTTTTTTTAAGACTATTAAAGGCTAATTGCATGTCTCATTCAAGAGAGCTCTGCAGCAACAACAATTACCTACTTGATGTGGAGCAGCAGAGCATGGCTATAGGCCAAGACACTCGAATTTGTCAGACGAGCTACAGTGAAAGCTCCGGGCTGCCGGGGTGGTAATAGCTTGCTTCCCATGCCATTTGGCTTCACACCCTGTAATAAAAATATTTGTGATGGGCTCACATGCATGTACGATTTGATACTTCCTCTTAATGAAAAGGGGCATACTTGTGCCATCTATTTCAGGGGAAAACATGTTTTCATATGCCCCCACCGACGTGTTTTTAGATTTCGTCGGTCAAATTTAGCATGACTGATTGTGCCCATCCTAGGATATTGATTTTCCTAGTAGGAGTCATATAGGCATGTGTAATATATATTTCTTTCTTAAAAAATACATATCATAATTGCAAAGGAAAAACATAGATATTCATTGCACTAAAAAAATGATATGTCATCCGAAGTGTAATTGTTTGGCCTACAGATGACAAATCGTAAAATGGTTTATTAACAGCTAAAAAAATAATTTATGAGTAAAAAAATTATATATGTGTCCTTAGTAATTTAAAAGCTAATGTAAAAAAATAAGCTATGATAAAAAAACCTCAAAAACAATTTTAAAATAAATTTCTGAAATTTAAATTTTAGCTAAGATTACTAAGCTAAATAGGACCTTGCTTTTGTTGAAAAGAAACTGTCAATTTTCCATATTATACTTGTTCCCTAGATCTGGACCGAAAGAGCAGAGCCATCCAGCGCTGCGTGCCAAGTCAATTGCCGGCAACCATCAACACGCGACAGCTAGTAGCTATCCAAGGCCATCAATTTCTCCATGTGTAAATGGATCAAAGAGGCGACACGATGCATATGACTCCATTTCCTGCAGTGATCTCAGAAGCTTCGAACTTTAATAACTTCAGATCGATCTTCAGAAAGTTCAGACTTCAGAGAGAGACCATGTCAAACAAGCAAGCAGGTAGGCATTGGCTGGCAAGCAAGCATACGCAGAGGTAGCCACGCGTACGATCGAATTCTATGCCTGATTAATGCAAAAAGATATTCAGAGATCAAGCGTATGCCATGCTAGCTTGTTTACTGAGAAAATCCAACAAATATCATTCATTTGCAAATTTTAGAAAATATCATAATACGAACCAACTTATCTTAGGCCATGTTTTTTTAGCTTAGAATTATTATAATCTAGATTATTGAGTCAGATTACTATAAGCTAAATTGTTATAATCTGTAGTAGAATAAGCGATTAGTTGTTTCTTTTCTAGCTTATTAGAGCCTAAATTATTGGGTTTGCAAGTCTAAACAGGAAATGGGGTGGCATGGTGGGTAATTTTTCACCCAATAATCTGAAAAAAGCTCACCTAAATAAGCTTAACATATTATAATAAGCTGGGTTCCAGATTATAATAAGCTACTTTAATAAGTTGTCTGTTTTTTTCAGCTTACTCCCAATAATCTGGATTATAATAATCCCAAGTTGAAAGAAACAAGGCCTTAGAAATGGTATCGCCGCTAGGATTTCATCCATTCCACTTTGTCATTTTAATTGTCCATTGGGTACTGGCTAAATCGATAAATCTTGCTTGCAAGACATCACATTTTCGTATGACAAATTCAGAGTTGTTGTAGTCACCCCAAGTCAGAGCATGTGTATATCAGAGAGTGGCCATTTCGTTCTGAGAGCCCGAGAAACTTGACTAAAATGGCACAAGTGGTGAGAAGTAATTACTTCTTGAAGAACAAGCTGGAACTGAGGATCCATTCCAAGCAGGCAGTACGTCCTTTGCAGGGAAGAAAGAGGTAAATTAATTAGATAGCCAGTAATTAATTGGAGTGCTAGTATTTGCCACTAGACCTTGTCAAAGCTGGAAGAATATCGAATGGCTTAGCCTAGCTAAGCCAGAGTTTTCCATGACCATTGACCAAATATATGCCTGTTCTTAATCTTCTTATAAACCAGGAAATTTCGGTCTGAAATATTAAACCCTGGTTCACTTCTACTCTCCCAACTTTCCAATTGCTGGTGTATTTGTGCATGTGGATAAATCCGAATTAGAACTATTTATAGCCTCCCTATTAATTCCTTAGAGGATGCATGCATCAATCCATACGGTACGTGTCCTCATAAG